TTCACTCGAAATGGAAGTAATCTCAACAACTTAAAGAAGACATCTCTGCTAAGAGCTTCAAACAGTCATTGCCGTAGTCTGGTTTTCCTCCTAATCAAATAATGTAATTTTATGGTATTTTCTTGAACTCTAAAAATACATAATTCGCGGTATTCTCTCAGAACTAGGTAGTTCTACTAGGAGTATTCGGTTTATCAACACTACAAAATTTGGGAATAATTCTACGCGATGAACATACTTTCGAATACAGAATACGATCAACTTGCCTGACCAACGCCTTCTTGGTCTTAGAGTAAAGTGATAAACCTCGAGAAGTTTGGTGCCGCTAAGTTATTTGTAGATATGTAGACAAACGGTTTGCAAAGAATCCCTTAGTGCAGTGGTTCCCAAACTTTTCCTAGTCGCGGCGCCCGTTTTCAATTAACATTTTTCCATGGCGCCCTACCCTAAATATGACTATTCGTAAGTAAGAGATAAATAAAATAAAAATCGCGTATCTCCATTATTTTCTTTGCTTTATTAACATTAAATTAATATTTAATAATAAATGTGATGGATGAGCCTGCAAATCACTACACATTCACTGCCTTAGTGAATTCACGTTAGAGTAGCTTTCAGTTGATTTGAAGAGGCGAGTTGAAGGGATTCGCAAGTTGGCTCAACTCTCAAACCCCCCGCATCTTACGGACATTGCATGCACACAGCACACGTGCGATAGAACGCAATCACATGCACCTCTCCTCTTGTCCCGCAGGACCCTTCCCTTATCTGCCTGTTCCAGTGATTTCACCCCATCCCTGCCACCGTATCCATGCCACTCAAGGCGTTATGTTCTACACTTTGCCGCAAGCCTTTGATAGCACGTGCACACCAGCCTCATTGAGCAAGCCCATAAAGTCTGGATTGTCAATTGACATGACAACCCAATTTGATGCTGCAGCTTTCTTTATCGCTGTGCCGCATGTGCACCGAGTAGATCTCGTCGTCAAGCCTTTACTTCATGGATCACGTCTAGGAGCAAACTTATCGTCTAACACCAAACTATCAATGGCCATCACCGTTTCTCTCGCTCTCCTATCCCTAATGCCAAATCTATGAATTTCTATTGCGTGCTGACCCCCAAATGTCATGGTTCTACTTGATTTAATAGGCTAACTGTAGACGTCTTCTCTTGGTTTCCGATGGCTCTTCTCTGATCTCTTTATAATTTCGTTTTCTGAAATTGAAAATATTATCTTTCTCCAGTCGTCTTCTTTTGCCTGATCTTACTCCAGTTTGTTCAGTCAGTATGCAAAGTTTTCGCTAATCTTGCCTCCCTCAAGTCTCCTGTTCATTAGGCTTCTTTCAGTCAGGACATCAATGGCTTCTCGTATCTTACGTTTTCCTGTATTTCCGCCATATTCAGCCTGCCTGTATGCCGATTTCCACTCGATTTCGTGTCCAGTCCTGCTTCACCACCATACTTCTGCTCACAGTTGCCGCATTTGATGCAATACACTCCCGAGCAATCCAGTTTGTCAACTTTCTCGTGTTGCTTCGGCAGGCTTGTGAAGAGGGCTTTCCTTTCTTTTGTTATCACCTTGATATTCCATTCGCTTAGCAACGGTCGCAATTTCTGGCTCAATTCATAGGATGGCAGGCATATCCACTTTTTGTCGTCCTCCCGATTTCCGATCCTATTTTCATACGATCCCAGTTGAAATCTGCTCTTTTTGAATCCTATATTTCTTTCTATAAATTATCTGGCATACCCGCTACTAAGGCAAATCCGAGTCAGTTTCTCCAATACCTCGTTCCATAACTCAGTGTCCGTTAATCTTAAGCTTTAGATGATCATACTCCCCATTATTCTGATCTTCAGTTGGTAGTTGTGATGAAGCTAGAAATTGACGATTATTCCCGTATGTCCAATATTACGGTCGCACCTCCCTTATCCGCCTGAAGAACCATTTGGTCATTCATTTGGAATTTTCTTTCTGACTAGTCTCCTCTTGAGTACTCCCTTGGGGTGAATGACCTCAACATCCAGGAATGGTAGTCGTTCATCCTCCTCCATCTCCGTTGTAAATTTAACTCTTCCATCAAATTGGTTTATAAGACAGAGAAACTCCTCCAAATTTTTCATTACAGTGCGACCAAAGTGCAAAGTAGTCGTCCAGGTATTGCATAAGCACCTCTGTTTGCAGCGGTACTTCTCGAATTCATTCTCCAATCTGTCCATGCATAAATTTGCCGAAAGTGGTGAGAATGGAGATTCTATCGGCAGTGCAAATAATTGCTCAGCTATTGCCGTTGAATGTAAAATATGTGGTACTTAT